TTCATCAATTTCATGTTTTTTCTTTATGGTAAAAAAAAAGATTTCGATAATATCAAATGTAGTTTTACCTTCGTTGGAACATACAAACTAACACTTGTATAACCTAAATGTTTGATTTAATCAATCTGAAATGTCATTTTGATTGAATATAAAATAAAAGTGCGTACCTGTACCAGCTGGGATTAATTTTGAAGTAAACATTCGATTGGTGTAAATTTTTAATCACATTTATAAAATTAGTTACGTCAACCCTTGACGCTCTTGTATCTATACTTGGTGCACGTCTGCTATTATCATTAATGTTACTACTTAGAAGAGGCATATTTTTTGTTGCTTCAATGTTAGATAATTTTTAATGTTGGCGAAGCTGTCGTTTATAATCAGTGCTTTATGTACCACGTGGAAATTTATAAATTTTGTCTATAGTGATCGGTTTTAACAATGAATTAAAGTAGAGTAATTATATTTTTGCTTATGATTTTTACCATTAGTTATTTTTTATTTTGTTTATGTATCTGAAAATGATAAAATGAATAAAGAGAACTTTATTACTTTATTAATTGATTCAATTTTGCTTTAAAATATAAATTGGTATAATTTTGTGCTCAAAGAAATGATGCCTTATTGCCCTTTTTCGTTATAAACGATCGATAGATAATTGATTAACCAATTGGATTCAATGGGATGATTAACCAATTGGATAAAAGAGATATTAGCGTTAGTTCGTCAATGGGATAAAGAAATTATACTAATATATGTATTTTATTCTGTTTATAAAATTCACTTTTATATTTGTTTTCTCATTTACATAAATTGTCCTTTCTATAGTCACAGAGTCGGGAACCGTAATAAGGTCTTGATGACTATAAAGGTTTGTGTTTAACTTGAAAGCTTTCAACAACATGTATAATAACTTAACATTAAGGACTATACCTCACTATAAATATTTTGTTATTGTATAAGTGTGACTATGGGAGTGATACATGTATTTATTACATAAATAATAAATAGTTTAATGCTTCTGCATGTACTTGTATTCTCTTATATACATGTATAGCATATTGAAAAACAGAACCATTTTCAATAAAATTCAATAGACGTCACGCAAACAGTAAACCAGTCAAAGGGCAAGATCAATGTGTAATGGAAAAAATTCAATCATTAAAAATTGAAAATTACATTGCATATTCGAGAACTGGCAACGTCAATCTTGTCATATTTAAAAAAATTAAAGACGCAATTATGAACCGGTTGACAAACCTCACAAAGTGAATATTGGTGTGGCTTTTGGTTTCATAATATATAAATAAATACAGCTCGTTTACCGTCGTAGTTAATGAAACCTATTTTTTTAATCTACTGTTTAAGATGGCCGATTCCCCTATACGTGTTAATTACGACTGCTTAAGCTATACGGAATTACAATTTTTAAGTAAATGCTCTTACCATTTAACTCTTTCTATAGAAGTGTTGACTAAACCAGCTGCAAAAACCCGCGGTGATTCTGAAAAACCACCACGACCTCAAAACAGTTGGATAATTTTTCGAAGAGACTATGAAGCGCGTTTACGTTTGTTCAATCAACACGCTAAACAAAAAGTCAAAGAAACAGCAAAGGAATGCAGCTTAAAATGGCAAACGTTATCAAGTGAAGACAAATATTTCTTCAAAATATTAGAGAAGTTGGCTTATGAAAAACACAAAAGCTTATATCCTAATTATAGGTATAAGCCAAAAAATGCAAAAGGATCAAACACCAAGAAATGGGTTTTTCGCGAACAGAAGAAATATACATTTACATCGATATCCATGTCTAATAATTCATCTCCTCAAGAAGCAACACAAATCGTTAGGTCACCTTCTTTGAATGATACTACATCAACAATTGAATACAATCATACTGCCATCACCACTTCGACAACCATTGATAATGCTCATCTTTCTATGATCAATACTAATAATGAAGCCGGAAATTCGTTTAATGAATCAATGGATCAATATCCATTTTCACTTGGAAATGATGATATTAATATTTATAGTAATGACTCAATCAACCGCCAAACCGATTCACAATTGTTCTCTCTATCCCTATTAGAATTTCAGTCACTTTCACTTCCATTTATCCAAGAATATGATTATTAAATATCGATTTATTATATGATAACTTTTCTAATAATTTTTATAACGTATAAATCAAGATAGATAAATAGATATTCAAAATTTCTATATACAAGATTTATGTTATCGCAATTCTTTCGTTCGTTCATTCGCTTATTCATTTTTTATTCTGTTCTTTTTGTTCAGTCTATCAATTCGTTGTGTTCATTTTAAATTTGTTCCATCTGTTCTTTTATTTTTTAGTTTAATTCGGTGTGTTCATTTTAAATTTGTTCTATCTGTTCTTTTATTTTTAGTCTATTAGTAATTTTTCAATAAAGCCTCGAATATTTCAGAAATGTGTAAACAAAAGGAATTTTATCAATAAATGCTTTATAAAGAATAAAGGAAATATTTTATAATAATTGAGCTTATAGAATTCTATAACGAATGATGGATGAACTTGTAAAATGATTTCTTATTGGACTAAGATTTTAATTTATATTGCTTAATCTAATTCTTTTTTCGCAATGCATAAGGATTGTTCGGATAAAGAAGTTGACTCAATTGCGTGTTGCCGATATTTTCAAATGGAGACAATCTCTAAAATTTGGTAGGTACAGTGATATGCCTCCGTAAATAAGATGTAACGGTAAAATTCAGTTGTGCTAATATCATTTTTTATCAGCTAACGCTAATAATATACGCATCAAGTTAGATTATCAGAGTTTTCACACATATTGTTACCATACAATAACAAATAATTTATAAGCTACTTATTATATTTCAAGTTAGCCTAGAACTCATTGAGCTCATATTTGTGTGGGGGTACTAATATATACATCAAGCGTAAAATTCTGTTCTAAACTTATGTTGACAGCAAAATTTCCGGATATACATGTACATGTACATGTATATCCGGAAATTTTTATGTTATAAATCTGCATTATGACTTATAATACAGTAACACCTCCCCAAGTGAACGCTCTTGGGACTGGCCATGCAAGTGCTCTTTTGGAGGGTGTACACAAAAAATTCGTTTTATGAATTGTACGAATACATATGCATGTACGAATACATACACGTACGAATACGTATACATGTGCATGTACAATTACATGCACCTATATGTACCGTCTGGTAGTATGAGACATATCGTTCAATCTTGACCGCATATCCAGAATTCAAAATCACTTGCACGTGCGAATGAATAATGAAGATTGTGGGATATTTTCTTTTGCTGCAATATTATAGAAAAGCAAGATTCATGATCTTTATTTAATAGTAATGTGATCCATATTGATTTAATTGTTATTTTTTTAAAATAAAATAAAAGATCATATTGATAAGTGTAATTTTATATAGCATACAAAATAAAGTTTATTATGAAATTTGTATATTTTATTTAGACTTACATTTAAATAGATTATTGATCAAAAGTTATTCATCACCACTTTTGGAAAGAAATATATACAAAAATTATAATGAATATAATATATTGTAATCTATATCAAGTTTAAAGAGTCAAGATTTTTCCTTTTTTGAATACACATGCAAATAATATATGAATCATAAAATATTGCATTTTTTACTTTTTTATTCGTGTTCAGTTTCCTATACTCTAAATATAGCAATATATAATTGATCATGTGAGAAGAGAGATACAGATCAATGCTTAACTCTAGATAGATACAGTTCTCCGCAGAAGTATCCGACCCCCCTAGCTTTTCGTAGATCATGTATAATGTACCAAATTTTTCCGAGCGCAAAGAATATTACAAATGCTGATCATGATACACATCTAAATATCCAATAATCTAATTTTTGACATCCAGTGATCCGATTTGAACAAAAATAATACTGTTTGATTCGTCTCGACTAGGCGAATCAAATGGTAATATTTTTGTTCAAATCGGGTCACTGGACGTTGAAATATTGCGTCTTAAAGTAGCAGATTCATTTTTTTGGCGATCAATTTCTAATGAAAAATTGATCAACAAATATGACACTTTATCTCGACGTCTAGTGGTCCAATTTGAGTGAAAATACCACCATTCAATTTGCCTAGATTAGGCAAATTGTATGGTATTATTTCTCACTCGCTAGACAGCAAGATATTATGTCCTAATGTGACCGATTTACTGTATTTGGGCATGAAAGTTTATGAACATACAATAAATATCCTATATAGAAAAGCTCTACCAATCTATAAAAGGTATCATGATTAGCATTTGTAATGTCGGAAAAATTTGGTGCATTACACATGATCTATGGAAAGTTAGAAGGGGTCGGATACTTTTGCGGTTGACTGTAAATGTGATATCAGAAGAATGCTATACAATGATATTCTGTACCATTTTGATATTATCTATTTCTGTGTAAACGAGCGGTATCAGTTTCTCTATGTTCCTGAATTGTACGATGCATTGCATAAAGTGAAAAAAAGAAAAATATGAGTTATTACGTAAACAAGATATGCCAAGTAGGTTATGAAAATGGACAATGTAAATGAAATATCATTATTTTTATAATACATCTATAGTTATTTCTTTGTTATATCTACGTCTCTAAAAAATGTTTGATTGTAAATAATGATTTTAATTTTTCATGCTATTCTAATATATTTATTAATTAATCTTTAATTCATGCTACTTTGATATATTTATTAATTAATCTTTAATTCGACATATGATTCTTGGAATTGACATTAAAATTTTGATAGTATATATAAGATAAAATTTCAATAAAATAAAGTAATTATGGATCACGAAAAATGTACAATGTATGAAATCACTACGTGGCTATCGAAATCTTGGGATGATGGAACAAGCTCTCTTTACTATTTGATAATTACAATGTTGAACACTGTTAATATATTTTAAATTCTTCGTTTCTCAACAATGATGTTAGGGTTCGGTGCTCCAGAAATTTCTGTATCACAAGATTTTATGTTACGATTCGAATAAGCAGATGCCCAATTAATCGACGATGTTTTTATTACAGATTACACTGCATCGCCATTACTTTCTGCCAGAACGTACCGTACACGTTAAAGAAACTAAATTTGGAAGTAAGATAATGACAAAATTGCATGTACATGTAATCAAAAGTGTGAAGTAAATAATTACTTATTCATCTTGATCTTTTATAAGTAGAGATCTTTGGAATCTGGTTTTAATTTAACTATTGAAATATTTCGATACAATGACAATATTAGACCGCTTCTGCAGCTGCTTTAGAGATAAAAACAATGACAATGGCAATAATGCTAATAACAATGGCAATAATGTCATAAATCGATCGTTAAATATTAGTATTAATGACAATAATGCTAATAAAAATAATGCAAATAATGTCATAAATCAGCCGTCAAATACTAGTCACGATAATATAAACCCCCCACCATTTATATTGGCTAGAAAAACAACTTGGATAGTCGTTGGAATAGGTAAAATTTCAAAGATCAATTGATTAAATAATCAATTCAATTGTTAATTTTCAAGCTTCATTTTAATAGATTTTGGAACAACAGAAAGTAAGTACATATTATATTAAACCATTTTTATTCTTAATAAAATTAATTCTTATTAATTTGGTTTAAATAGGTGGATTTGCATTTTGTCCTCGGCCTCTAAATAATGGGCAAATAAATATTGATAATATTGCGACTAATTCTGAATGGTGGAATAATTATGGTTTAAATTTAATAAATGTTTTTCAATTCATAAAACTTACAATAATTAAAATGTCTTAGGCCTGGATGGTTGGGAAAATTCAAGACTAATACTGCGTTGGAATATGATAGTAATTGGAATGTTACAAATTGGGGATACCCAGCAATATCACAAAGACCAAATTTGAAAACAAAAGGAGGTAGTCAAATATCAGACAAAAAACCGGTGGAATTGTTCAAATTGCATTTAGGTGATATCCCAGTTGATGAGAAGCCCCTATTACCGACTGGATTAAACTATAAGAAAGCAATCACAGATTATCTTCGTGAAATGGGAAAAGTAATTATATTAAAATTATGTCGTATATATTTTTACTTTTTGTTTTAACATTTGAAAAAATAATGATTTATAGATAATCAAAGAAAGATTAGGAAGAAACTGGCCACATCTTGATTTCCACAACGACGTACAAATAGTAATGACTATACCTGCGGAATTTATTGAAAACACAAAAGCTATTATGCGAAAATGTGCTTTTGATGCGGGATTAATAAATAAAAAAGATTCAGAAAATTTAACATTCACAACAGAACGTAAATTAAGAGTTTCTTTTCCCTTAAGCTTGCTATTTTGAAAATTATTAACATTTAATCTTAATTAGCGGAAGCGGCAGCACTCTATTGTTTGCATTATGTTCATGATTATCAATTAGGAGATTGCGGTATTTTTTTTTTATCTTTTTCGTTTTCAGTTTAATTATTTTATATATAAATATATCGATATTATTAGAGCACTATATGATTGTTGATTGTGGAGGTGGAACAGTAGATTTGACAACACGAAAATTATTGCCAGGAAAACAAATTGGTGAAGTAACCGTGCGTACAGGGGGTTATTGTGGGAGTGCTTATGTTGATAGGCAAGTAACAGAAACATCTACTTTATTAAAAAATTATGTATTATACATATATTTTAAAATTCGATGATTTTACGATTAATAGGGAATTCTTAAGATTCTTGACGAAACAAATTGGGGTGCAAGCAGTTCTAAGTCTAAAAAATAACCATTATAATCAACTTCAATATCTGATCCAGGATTTCTTTGTACGACAAGTAAAAATATTATTCACGGGTGATCCAAAAGATTATAGAAGAAAAATATTAGATATCGAAGAATATTGTCCAGCAGCGATACAATATATCAATTATTTAATGCGACCAAAACTAGAGGAAAATCAATGGCGAATTTTTCTCGACTTTGACACGGTAAAATCAATGTTCGAGCCAGTTATTAATTCTATAATCAACTTGATTCAGAAACAGATTGATGCGTCACCAGCGAAATGTCAGGTGATTTTCTTATGTGGAGGGTTTGGAGAGTCACCGTATTTGTTAAAGCGTGTGAAGGAGAGATTCGAAACACCATCAACTATGATTTGTGCACCGCATCAAGCTGTTACTGCTATTGTTCGCGGCGCTGTTTTAGTAGGTCTTTTATATAATTTACTTTTCGATTACTATTATTGTCTAACTAACTCAATAATTTTAAATTTATTAGTATGGTAAGCAGATAATAAGCTAAAATACAGCAAACTTTGCTTTAATTTTGTTGATAAAGTTTGTAAAATTATAAAATAGGCATTAACGAAAGTTCTATAAAAACACGAGTATTAAAATGGACATACGGCATAGAATGTTACAGACGATGGGATCCAACAAGGGACCCTATAGAGCGTAGAGGTCCAAATGGTTATGTTAGGTCATTCGACAAATTAGCAACGCGTGGAGAAAAAGTAAATGTCAATAAAGAATATAAAAAAAAATATTCTACAACTCATCCGACGACTGTCAGTTTTCCTGTATATACTTCAAGCAACGAAAATGAGGTTTATTGTGATGGGTTGAAGCGTTTAGGAGAATTAGAAATTGGTTTGTTTTTTGAAGATTTTTGTTTTCATTTTTTCTATTTATTACTCATTATTCTTTTTTATAGCTATTCCAAATCCTCAGGGTCTGAAACGAGATATAGAATTCTCTTTATTTTTTGGCCAGATGGATATTAAAGCTATGGCACGTATTTTGGAAACGAATCTGCAATGTATTACAACGCTTATGTTTGATCAGGATTAAATCAATTATACATTTCCATTTATTAATTTATTGTGTTTGAGATTTTAACTTGAGTAATTATCACAAGTAAAAGATTGTATTATGCATGTACTTTTAATTAGAGAATTCATTAATTATTTAAGAAGACGCTGACAGATATTTTGTAAAGGTTAGATCTAATATTTCTGTACCAACATAGCTTCCTGTTAATCGTATATTATCTATCAATATAAATAATTCGAACTTGCATTATTAGCATTATAATCATAAATCATTTTTATAATAGTAAATTCTTCTTGTTTTTACTAATAATGCTAATTAATATTAAAGTTCTAATATAATAGACACCAGATACTTATGTAAATATCAGACTAATCATCTTTGATAAAGATCTTTAGCTGATTTCATATACACTCTCCAGTTAAAAGTATCTAATCACTTTAAAGCTAGATAAAAATATATAAACCTCAGCAATTAATTTATTAACAATTCATAAATAACACTATAAAAAATTTATATCAAATTATTTAAAAAAATACAAATTTTATTAATATCTAGTTGGATTTTCATGATTATTTAATATTACTTGAAATCTTTTTGACAAACTTTCAACTGAATTTATTAAAATTTCAGACTTAATTTTATTTTACTTCTTCAAAACTACTATTAATTCCATAATATTTTTGGATGAGATTTATATTATCTAATTCTTCTTCTCACAAATATTCAATTAGATTAAGATCTGAACTTTGTGCAAAATATAAAAGACTTAATATCAAATTATCCTCTTTTTATTGATTAATCCTTCTTGCTTTATATATTAGAATATTATTATCTTGAAAAATATATTATGAATTATTTTTTAAACTATTATAAAAGAATAAAAAAATATTTTCTAATATTTTTATATATATAAAACTTGTTATTTCATCTGAAATTTGAATTAAAAAATCAATTTATCTTTTATAAGATATTTTTATATTATAATTTCTTGATTTCCAGATTTTATAATTGAAATTAAGCAACTCATATTATATTATTTATATAAACTATATATCAAATTCAGTGATATATTACTTTAAAATAATATAAAGTGAATTTATTATTTTAAATAATGAAATTTTACTTATTATTTTAATTTTTTCTTTTACTAGTCTTTTTTTATAATTTTATTCAGAAATATATGATCTTTTCTTTTCAGTTATTTATAAAATCTCTCAATATTTAAAATATACTTTAAAATATTAGAAGAAATTGAAATTAATAAAGATTTACTAAAATTTTTTCATTATTTTCTCTAGTAATTGTTGCTAATCTTTCTTAACTTATTTTACAAGACTTCTAATCTCTCTTTTTATAAGTCTCTATAAGTCTTAATAATCTCTCTGAATGCAAAGCATCTTTAATATTTCCTGAATTTTTATAATTTATTATATTATCATGAATAGTGATTTTAGAATATCCAAGAGTTTCTCTAATATTTTGTTTACTATGATCTTCTTTTCAGAGATCTATAATCTCTTCTCATTCAAACTTGGTAAGTTCACATCTTTTGGACATTGTAAAAGAAAAAAAGTTTTTTTTCAGATAACTGAAGACAAGAGCTGCATGAAAAAAAATTTATTTATTTATGCTTAACAGTTTTGGTGTAATCTTCAAATTCAAATATATAGATTTTATTTTTATTTTTTATAAACATTTTTATTATTTAAAATTTATTATTAACATTAAGATAAATGAATAAAATTTATTCCAAAAAACCTTTAAAATGAAGCTTTAAAAGAGATAAAGAAGTGAAAATTTTGAATCAAATCGATTAAATAAGAAAATATAAAAAGAGCTGATAAATGATGACTTGGTTTCATTAACCGTTCTGAGACCGATATCCATTTCCATAAAACTTATCAATTTCGATAACGTCTAATGAAATTTCCCACCTCAATTACTATGATTTCAATTTATCTTCGGATTCCTCGAGATCGATGTCATGTTGAAGTGTTAGATATTCTGATGTATCATCATTTTCTTTATATTTTTACAGAATATTATTAACTTGATAGGATTAGATTATGCAAACATTATTGAAAACACTAACCTTCCTGATTCACATTCGGCAAACCTTTGCTTGTATAAATGGCCAATGGATGGGTCGTGTAACTTTCTTTGGAATCATATTCGGATTCTTTTGCAATTCTAAATTCCTCGGCGGCGACTATTTGTTGTTTTTCCATAATCGTTGTTTCCTTATAAAACCATTTTTTAACGATGTCGCATATCTCTTTGGAAGTTGGTCTTAGTGAGGGATTTTGATGCCAACAACGTACAATCAAGTCGCGATAAAAGTCAGGTAATCCTTTCGGTAATGCTGGTCGCAAACCATCACAAATTTCTAAAGCCAAAAAAATATCGAAAGGACGTTTACCGAATGGCGGTTTACCAACACACCACTCCCACATGACCATTCCCAATGCATAGACATCTTGATGCAATGCTGAATTCTTCTCCTCGGAAAATCTCTGGGGCAACGAATGGCATTACACCATACATTTGGCGTTTTCCCTTAGTGGAATCTTGTCTGATTGCAGCCATATTCATCTGATCAAAGAACATTTCCAGGATGTAGATCACCGTGTATAATACCTTGTGAATGAATATATTGAAGATTTGTACTAATATCATATAGCACTCACTCGTATGCGATCGTTCTATGTTATTTCTTTGAATTGATTTCGTAGATAATGACGCAGATCGCCATGGCTGGCATAAGTGATAACTAAAAATATTTTCCATTTGAAGGATCGCATGTTATTCCATAGACTTCATAATAACGAATACTATATTTAAATGAAAAATAGAAAGATAATTTAATATAAATAAAAAAGAAACAGAATAAATTATTCCTCACTTATAACCTTTATTAGAACATGGTAAAAGATTGTATTAAATTGATATCTAATAAAAAGGTATGAAATAATAAATAAAATGGTAATGATAAATTTAAAAAATTAATTAAAAGTGAATTTCTTACCTAATAAAATAGTTAATTTCTTACCAACTAAATAAAGGAAAGAATAATTAGTTAAATAAATTAATATCAAATAAAATTAAAATGTAAATGTAAAATAAAATTCTTGATTTCTTACGATCTAAATAAAGGATAGAATAATGGATTAGTTAAATAAATTAATATCAAATAAAAGTAATTTCTTACCAACTAAATAAGGATAGAATAATGATACAGTTAAATAAACTAATATCGATATCAAAATAAAATTAGAATAAAATGTAAATAAAATGTTGATTTCATACAATCTAAATAAGAGATTGAATAATGGATTAGTTAAATAAATTAATATCAAATAAAATTAAAATGAAAATATAAAATCAATTCGTTGATTTCTTATCAGCTAAATAAAGAATAGAATATGGATTAGTAATAAATTAATATAAATAAACTAAAATGAAAATATAAATTAAATTGTTGATTTCTTACAAACTAAATAAAAGATATAATAAAGGATTAGATAAATAAATTAAATTAATATCAAATAAAACTAAAATGAAACTGTAAAATAAACATGTTGAATTCTTACCATCTAAATTAAAAATAGAATAATGAGTTAGTTAAAAAAAATTAACATCAAATAAAATTGAAATGAAACTATAAAATAAGCATGTTGATTTCTTACTCCCTAAATAAAGGATAAAATAATGGATTAGATAAATAAATCAATATCAAATAAAATTAAATGAAAATATAAAATAAAATCGTTGATTTCTTACGAGCTAAATAAGGATAGAATAATGGGTTAGTTAAATAAATTAACATTAAAAAATTAAAATGAAACTGTAAAATAAGCATGTTGATTTCTTACCATCTAAATAAAGGATAAAATAATGGATTAGTAAAAAAAATTATCAAATGAAAATATAAAATTAAATCGTTGATTTCTTACTCTCTAAATAAAGGATAGAATAATGGGTTAGTTAAATAAATTAATATTAAATAAAATTAAAATGAAATTGTAAAATATTAATATCAAATAAAATTAAAATGAAATTTTAAAATAAACATGTTGATTTCTTACCATCTAAATTAAGGATAGAATAATGGATTAGTTAGAAACATTAGCATCAAATAAAATTAAAATGAAAATATAAAATTAAATCGTTAATTTCTTACTCCCTAAGTAAAGGATAGAATAATGAATTAGTTAAATAAATTGATATCAAATAAAATTAAAATAAAACTTTAAAATAAACATGCTGATTTCTTACGAGCTAAATAAAGGGTAGAATAATGGATTAGTTAAATAAATTAATATCAAATAATATTAAAAATGAAAATGTAAAATAAAATCGTTGATTTCTTACCAACTAAGTAAAGGAAGGACAGAATAATGGATCCGTTAAATAAATAAATTCAAATTAAATTAAAATGGAAATATAAAATAAAAATCGTTGATTTCTTACGAGCTAAATAAAGGATAGAATAATGATTGGTAAAATAAATAAATTCGTTAAATAAATTAATATTAAATAAAATTAAAATGAAATGTAAAATAAATTTGTTGATTTCTTACGAGCTAAATAAAGGACAGAATAAAGGATTAGTTAAATAAATTAATATCAAATAAATTAAAATGAAATATAAAATTAAATCGTTGATTTCTTACAAACTAAATAAAGAAAATAATAATGGATTAGTTAAACAAATAAAATTAAAATGAAAAATGAAATCGTTGATTTCTTACTTCCTAAATATAGGATAGAATAATGGATTAGTAAAATAAATAAATATCAAATAAAATCAAAATGAAAATATAAAATAAAATCATTGATTTCTTACGAGCTAAATAAAGGATAGAATAATGATTAGTTAAATAAATAAATTCAAATAAAATTAAAATTAAAATGAAAATATAAAATTAAATCGTTGATTTCTTACGAGCTAAATAAAGGTTAGAATAATGGATTAGTTAAATAAATTAATATCAAATAAATTAAAATGTAAAATAAAA